GCATGTGACGGTGATTGGCTGTAGAGGGTTACTTGCATGTGGCGCGACAGTCGCATGCTGCTGCTGAAGAGAGGCCTCTAATTTTAGCGAGGACATGGGGCGGATTGCGACGCTGCAAGTCGACGCGTACAGCAACAGACGACCAGCACAACGGCCGCTTCGAGTTTGCCATCCAAGTCGCAGGAAGGTTGCGGGGGCAGCATCTAGGCTCTGTCGACTGCACCGCGTTGCACGCCGTCGAATGCGGGCCCGTAGAGACTACCATTTTGCCGTGGCCGTTATTAACACCTAGACTCGTATTCCGCCCCCACCCAGTTGTATAGACGTACTGCACCGCGCCGCCTGCATCGCGCCCTCGCCATCCGAACTCGACCTTTCCCATGGCGTCTCCAGCCCCGGTTCCCTTCACCTCGCTCGACACCACCACGCGGCAGCCAGCGAAGGATGAGGTCGAGTCGCCGAGCATCTCGAGCACCAACGCGCTTGCCCGCTACGAATACGAGGCGGGCCACGCCAATGCCACGACGGGCACCAAGATCCTCATGGTAGAGTGGGAGGACGACGACACGACGCGCGGGGTGCGCGGCGACTGGCACATCTCGTGGGACGGCAGCACGCGCGTGCTGCCGGCCGACGACCAGCCTGCCAACGACGTGAACCGCATGTATTTCCTGCTGCCTCCGGGCGTTGCGGTGCCCACCAGCGTCACACTCACGCTACGGCCCCAGGACGCTAGTATATCGCCTGTGGTCTGGCACACCAACCCTCTGCCCGCCCTGTTTCCGCCTGAACTCGGAGCCTCCGCGCGTGCAGCCGGCAAGAAGGGCGTGCTGCACACCATCTGGGCCAAGAAGCGGCTGCAGGTCTTGCAGAAAGAAATTGAGGCCGAATCGCGCAACAACGTCGAGGGCATTGGCCTGCTCATGGTGGTGCAGGAGAAGGAGTGGATCGAATCAACGTTTGGCGTCAATGCCAAACCAGCCGGCCTGAGCATCTCGTTGGGGGAGCCGACGTTAGCCCCGATGAAGGGTCCTGCTAGCCCACGATCTCCAGGCGGAGGCAGGCTGATGGACAAGCTGGCTGGCCTGCGACTGGGCACGAGCGAGAGAGACCTCACACCGAGCAGCAGCACGCCGGGCTTCTCCAACCCTCTCTCACCTGAATCCTCAGACATCGCCATTAGCTCCTTTTCTGTCTTCAAGGGAGCCAACCCGTCGGCACTTGCAGCGAAACCTCCACAGCAACCGCAGTCTGAGCCTGCAGCGCCGCCTCGCAAGGTCGTTCCCCAGGCCCCGCCGCAGTTCATCACAGAGCAGCAAGGCGCAGGCATGATGGGTTCACTGAATGCTCTATCTGGCCCTGCGCCTATGTTCCAGTCACGGGATCCGTCTGGACCTGCAGATGAGGATGACAAGGACGATGGGTTGTTTGCACTACCGATAAGTCCGCGAAGCCCCGAGGTGGGAAAGAGCCCGTTTTCGTTTGCGGTGAACGAGACAGCTCCGTTCTTGAAGGAGGAGAGTGCCGCCTGAGTACTGTGTTAGATGAACCTACGGGTGCATCAGTGTAGCATGGGTGCGTTGCGTTAGTCACAGGGTCGATGTAGCCCTTTTATGAAAGTGATACCTTGGCGGCTTCCTGCCGCTGCGAGAATTCATTCTAGTTGGAACTATCAAGAGCGATATTCCATCATCATGATTGCGCCAAGATATAATAAGTGCAGTATGGTGAATGTACACGGTGAATGTCTCAACATAATCTTAGCACCTCAACAACGAGTGAAAACAACAAAGGCCAATGTGTATGAGATCCAATCTTCAGATAGACTTGCCGGTGACTGGCAATAAATCGGCAGCGTAACTGTACATGGTGGCTGCAGACTAGGTGAAGATCGCTGCACGTGCTAGGCAAGTGGTACCAAGGCGCTAGAGGCGTCGCTGACGAAAGTTGCCGACGCGATCTCAGGCGCAACTTCGACGCTCCCACGGTACTGTCGCAAAGCCCCCAACACGTCCACCTCCCCGTCATCCTCCGTCGCACTCCTCTCACCCCCGATCACGAGACACAACCCACCGGCACCGATTGACGCGCGACAAAATGCTCACCACTGGACGCGGCAGCATTGCCCAGATACACTACACGGGCGAGGAAGCTGCGGGTGAGATCAACAAGCTTCTCAGCGCGGTCGTGAGTACTGCCCCACCTGACCGCCAACGCCTACTAACCCATGCTGTAGGTAGAGAACGAAGACGACTTTGAGAGATGGGAGGCGCTCGTCACTCGCGCCTCTGACCTCGAGGGCGGCGTTACCCGCAACTCCAGCCCATCCGCCATCGAACTAGTGCGCAACGTGTACGACTGCTTCCTGACCAAGTTCCCGCTCTTCTTCGGATACTGGAAGAAGTATGCCGACCTCGAATTCTCTATTGGCGGCACCGAGACGGCTGAGATGGTCTACGAGCGCGGTGTCTCATGCATTACACCCTCGGTCGACCTGTGGGCCAACTACTGCACCTTCAAGATGGACACATCGCACGACAACGACATCATCCGAGAGTAAGTCTTGCCTTTCCTCCCCTTCCCTCCTCCCGATTCGCAGGCTCAATCTCGCCGTAGCCAACGGCAAGTCTGGCGCAGCTTGGCGTTGCGCCTGCAGACCTGACACAGTTTCGTTGCATGCCATTTGATGCACCCTCTTACTGCCCCGTTATAATATGCCCCACGAAAGAGCGAGATCGTACGCTAGAGTTCCGAAGTCGATGGCATTGCCGTCCTCTGATGGCATGAGAGGTTACTTTGCAAGATCACCCCCTCCTATCCCTCCCCATACTTGCTTTCGACATACTGACCTAATAGTCTGTTCGAGCGCGGTGCCCATTTCGTTGGTCTCGACTTCCAGAGCCACCCGTTCTGGGACAAATACATTGAGTTCGAAGAGCGCATCGGCGAGCCAACCAATGTCACCAAGATCTACAGCCGTGTTCTCCACCTGCCCATTTACCAATTCGCCCGATACTTCGAGAAGTTCTCCGTCCTGCTTAACAGCCGACCAGTCGATGAGCTAGTCGACCCCGATACCCTCGAAGAGATGAACAAGGCGATCCAGCTGGACAACCAAGGACAACCCGAGAAGCCAGCGCTTGAGATCGAGCGGCAACTGCGTAACAAGATCCATGAGCACTACTACACCGCATATGGAAAGACACAGCAGGAGGTGACCAACCGCTGGACTTTTGAGCAAACCATCAAGCGGGCTTACTTCCACGTCACAGAGCTCGAAGATGCCGAGCTTGAGAACTGGCGCAAGTACCTAGAGTATGAGGAGAAGCAGGGTAACTTTGAGCGCACTTCTTTCCTGTACGAGCGCTGCCTCGTTGCTTGCGCGCTCTACGACGAGTTCTGGCTGCGTTACGCTCGCTGGATGTTCTCGCAAGGCAAAGACTATGCAGAGAACACAAGGATAATCTACATGAGAGCTAGCTGCATATTCGTACCAATCTCGGCTCCTGAAGTACGCCTGAACTGGGCGCGGTTCGAGGAGAAGCTCGGCCGTACTTCTGTCGCACGCGATATCTACTTGGCCATACTTGACGAAGCCCCCGAAAACACCGAGACTCTCATTGCGCTAGCCGGAGTAGAGCGACGCCACGAAGGCAACGATGCGGCCGTCCGCCTCCTAGAAGAGCACATCGGTCGCTCAAACAACCACATCGGTGGCATACTAGCTGCTGAGCAGGCACGCATACTCTGGCAGTGCAAGGGCAGCGTCGACGAGGCACGCCAAGTGTTCAAGGACAAGCACGAGCGATTCCTGGACTCGCGCGAGTTCTGGGTCAAATATCTTGAATTCGAGATCGCACAACCCTCACCTGATCAAGAAGAGGGCCATACCCGTATAAAGGCAGTGCACGAGCTGATGCGCACCAAGGGACGCTTCTCCGCAGACGTCTCAAAGGAGCTCTCTCACTACTACATGGCGTATTTGATGGATCGTGGTGGCAAGGACGCAGCCGAGGAGTACATGCAGCTGGACAAGGACGTCAACGGGTATGTATCATCTGCTAAGAGCGACCCCTCCCAACTCCCATCCCAGAAGAAACGTAAAGGACAGCCTCACAATGCAGCAAACAAACGTCAGCGCAAGTAGTTGTGCTTTAGGTCTTCCCAGCACAGCGAAACTGCGATGCGCGCTGCTGGTCGCACCATGACTCTCTAGTGTCTATCATACCCCTTCTTGAACTTTTTAGTATTTACCATTTCCTGCACCTGCACGATCACTAGAAAAACGTAATACACCACGATTCTCGTCCTCTCATTATGCTTGCTGACATTGCGTGTTCAATACAGTGCAAAGCAGATCGAAGACGCCGCTACTGCTCCTCCTGTGCCTCAAAAGCCTGGTCACCGAAGCCGCTTCTAGGAGTGCGATAGTAACTTGGTATGCGCCTCCTCGATGCCCTTTCTCGTTGCTTGACTGACGGTACTGCCCAGACGAGGTGTGACCATCCCCATTCACCCGAGCTTTCCATATTCGAATCCTGCGCCCCAAGTAATGTCTGGTCAGCTTTCCGTACGTCACGTCGAGGCAAAAAGCCTTGATGCGATTGCGATATCCGCACCAACCACCCTTCTGATGGGCAGGCTCCAAGCCATGGGTAGACCCGCGCTGTCTGTCTCATTTCTAGGTAAACCATCCTGCCCACTGTCCTCTAATCCTGTTGTCTACACTGTAAAATTTCCGGCGTTATTTCTTCGTTCCATGCGATATCGATGTTATGAGAGGACGTACTCGTAAGAGACCTTGTGTTAGCTTGGGTAACGTCTGGTCGATAGCTGCTCGTGTCGAGCTGGTGTATTTGTACAAAATATTATAAAAGATATTTAAAGACCATCGTCAGAGCATGCGCAGTGAGCTTTCATATAGATGTGATTCATCAGTACCTGAGATTGTTCATGATGCATAGGTACCATATAACCATAACACCATCCACAGAGCCCGTCTAAACGACAAACCCACCACTATTCTTCTGTCTCGGCTCCCCCGCCGCCTCAAAAGTACCATTCGTCAAGCGCCTCAAGCCCTGCGCCGTACTCGACCCCGGCGCAACCCACGTAACATTACTGCCCAACCCCTTCAAGAAAGCCGTAGTCCCATTATCGAACCCATACTCAAAGCTGACCTGCGCCGGCACCAACTGATCATGAATCCGCGGTTCAGCCAGCGCCTCCGCCGTCGTCATCTCCCCATCGAGGATATGAAGCAGATTCTGGATTGTGGCAGTAATGATACGACTACCTCCCGCCGCGCCAATAGCGACGTAGAACGCACTAGCGATGGACGAGGAGTTGAGGTGCTCGACGATGACGGGCGAGATGGAGGATAGCGGACGTTTACCAGGACGAATGAAATTGGCAGGCGAGGGAATATATCCGAACGCGTTCGTCGTGTTAGGGATACTGAAATCGTTCATCTCGTTGTTCATAATGACACCGGTCTCAGGAACGACGAGCTTGCTTCCAAAAAGCAGGTTCACCGTCGTCGTCAGTGTAACGGCCATGCCGCTCTTGTCCGCCGTAACAATGTGGCTCGTTCCGGGTGTCTCGAGGGATTCCAGACCAGCGGGGTTGTAGTAGGACACGTCGAATGTTTTGGTGTCGGAGATCTTGGATCGGATTTCCTTTGCGGTGGCTTCGGATAGCATTTGCTCTTGGTATGTGTCTATGCCTGAGAGGAAGAGGGGGTCGCCTAGCTCGGCGCGCATGCCGTAGGCGAATCTCATGCTTTCGTCTAGGCGGTGCGTGGTTAGGTTGATGTTTTCTGGGTCGCCGACGTGGGAGTAGCCTTCCATGATTTTGAGTGTTGCGAGGGCGACTTCGCCGCCTGAGGGCGCGCTGCAGGCTGTGAGCTTGTAGTCCCGGTAGGTTATCGTGGAGGGCTTGCGGATGGCGACCGTGTAGTTGGAGAGGTCGGCCAGCGTCATGGTTCCGTTGGCGGCCTGCAGAGCACGGATTGTGGCTTCTGCTATGGGGCCGTTGTAGAATGCGTCTGGGCCGTTTTGGGCAATGGTTTCGAGGGTGTCGGCGTAGCGTTTCCGCGTGATGGTCTCGTTGAGCTGGAGGGGACGTCCTTTGGGCGCGAAATCGAGAGCAAACTCGAGATCGTCGACTAGGAAGTTGGATGAGGAGGTAGCGGAGGCCATGTATTTGACGAGATCTTCGTTGACTCTCCAGCCATTCCTGGCAACCTTGACAGCTGGGTTGAGGACTGTGGACCATGGCAGGACTCCGTAGTTTTCGTGAAGATGTTGAAGTCCGCGGAGTTCACCAGGGACACCGGATGCGAGACCGCCGTTGATACTGGCGTCTTCGTTGTTTTTGTACATGTCTTCAAATGCAGCAGCTGGTGCTGTTTCGCGGAAGTCAATGAATTCATATGTGCCATTGGGGGCGCGGACCAGCATGAAGCCTCCTCCACCGATGCCTGAAGTTGTTAAAATACGTTATAGCCAGAATGTTTGGAAGATACTCACCTGAATGGTACATGCCGACCACACCTACACATGCCACAGTACCTACCATGGCATCCGCAGCATTTCCACCCAGCTTCAGCAACTCAATACCGATGTGACTGCAGATATCACTTTCCGAAGCAACAGCACCCAACTGGCCGTCCCCCAGAATGGGCGGCGCAGGGTAATCCGATGACCATGACTCCCCGCTCTTGACCGGATTACCCAAGACACTCTGCAGCGTCAACAGTCCGGTGAAGCACTTGACCAGCGAACCGCGTGCCATATTCGCAGCAGCACAGTATTGACGAAAAGATGGAGGAAGAACAAGCTCACCAAGCCAACGCGCCGCATTCCATGGGCTCATCGTGCAGATTATATACTAGCCGAAGTCGGCTTGGTGGATCCCGCGTTTGCGCCCTGCCTTCCTCGCCCTGGTGATAGCCACGGCAATAACTGGTAACGGTACGCGGCTGGGACGGATTAGGAAGCTGCAAACGCACGAGGCTGGGATTGCGTGCGAAGCTGTCGCAATGCACCATTGCGGGCCGAGCGTGGACATGTTCAGGTAATCATATACTTGTGGTTTTGCGTAGTTTGGCCTATCGAAGTAGTCGAGATAACGAAGCCGGGCCGTTGTTGGTCGGAGATAGGCGGGGGTGATAACGGTGGTCGCGTGCTGGGGTGTTTGTATGAGCAAAGAGAAATGCTGGTGATGGGTGCATTGTCGTGTGTCTATACACTGAGGATAGTACAACTCAAGTTGTCGTCACGCTTCGTTGACAGCATGTGCAGGTGTCGTTCTGTCAAGCTTCAGGGCTGAGTCCCCGGGCCCATCTAGGCAGTCCGGCTGCAACTCGACCATGATCGCGGAAGTAGCTGGCATTGGACTTTTCACTGATGACATTGACTTGAAAAGCCAAGCATAAGCTCCAGAGCCATGTCCCTATATGATGTAGCAGCCAAGCACGCGGAGGAACCCCAGAAAACGTGACACCGTGATGTAATCCGAAGGTTCGCGTCGCCTGCCTCACGCGTCTCTAGCTTTCTCCACACGTACACCCGCCATCCGTCGCGACCCCACGAATCACCCAATGGCGCCAAAAAGTACCCAATCGTCGTCGCAGCCCAAGTCGTCGCAAAAGGGCACGCAACAGACTATCTCCAGTTTCTTCACGAAGAAACCGTCGCAAACGCCTAAACCCGCAGCCAAACCTGCTCCTAAGGCGCCTTCTCCGCCTGTAGCCAACGACGCACCTCAAGAACAAGACGACGAGGAAGATGGGCTTCCGGTCTCACAGTCAATTCCTGTTCGCAAGCGCGCAATAGATGAAGATGACGGAGCTTACGATTCTGGTCGCTCGTCCCCCTCAAAGCGCGTCAGATTCGAAAAAGGCGACTCGCCCCGACAGACGTCTGCACCAAAGCCTCCGAGAACCGCCGATAGGACCTCCAAGTTTCTGTTCTCTTCGTCACCCGCTCCACGCGAAGAAAACCCCGAGGAAGACGAGGAGGATGCCGCAGCTTCGCAGAAGCAGAAGAAGAGGCTACACGAGAAGTTTGTCAAGAAGCTGGGTCGACCAGACAGCTTTGCTGAACTGAGGAGACGCAACAAGATCATATCTGAGGACAATCCCAATGCCAATGGCGAGGAAGGCGAGGGCGACGAGGAGGAAGAGGATGAGCCACCCCAGAAGCCCGCCAAGGGAAAAAAGGGCGCTGCGACCAAGAAGGCAAACAAGCTGACGCCGATGGAAATACAATACCTGGACATAAAGCGAAAGCATTTGGATACCGTCATCGTCATGGAGGTTGGGTACAAGTACAAGTTCTTTGGAGAGGATGCAAGAACGGCATCGAAAGAGCTGGGCATTGTCTGCATACCAGGTAGGAACACCAGGGCGAATTGAATGTGAAACATAGCTGACTTCGCATACCAACATTCAGGAAAGTTCAGATATGACGAGCACCCTTCCGAAGCCCACCTCGACCGATTCGCGTCCGCCAGCTTCCCTACGCATCGGCTACAAGTCCACGTCAAGCGTCTCGTACAAGCAAATCACAAGGTCGGAGTCGTAAGACAGCTGGAGACAGCCGCGCTCAAAGCGGCCGGTACCAACAGGAATGCTCCCTTCGTGCGGAAACTCACCAATCTCTACACGAAAGGCACATACGTCGACGATGTTGAGGGCTTGGAGGCACCTACTGAAGGCTCAGGCGCAAGCGTGCAGTCGACCGGATATCTACTTTGCATCACCGAGAGCAATGCAAAAGGCTGGGGTACAGACGAGAAAGTGCAAGTTGGGCTGGTAGCCGTCCAGCCTGCGACTGGCGACATCATTTACGATGACTTTGAAGATAGTTTCATGCGTAGCGAGATCGAGACACGACTGCTTCACATCGCGCCGGCAGAGTTTCTCGTAGTCGGCGACCTGTCCAAGGCTACAGACAAGCTGATCCAGCATCTGTCAGCCAGTAAGACCAACGTCTTCGGAGACAGGTCGCGGGTGGAGAGGGTAGAAAAGCCTAAAACAATGGCTGCACAAGCCTACAGCCACATCTCAAATTTCTACGCAGGCAAGATGAAGTCCAGCCAGGAAGCAGACTCGGAAAAGCAAGGTACCATTCTGGACAAGGTACATCAGTTGTCGGAGCATGTAACCATCTGCCTCTCAGCGATGATCACTTACCTTAGCGAGTACGGCCTGGAACACGTCTTCGATCTCACAAAGTACTTCCAGCCTTTCAGTGCCAGGTCTTACATGTTGCTGAACGGAAACACACTCTCTAGTCTGGAGATCTACCAGAACCAGACAGACTACACTTCGAAGGGCAGCTTGTTCTGGACCATGAACAGAACAAAGACCCGTTTTGGGCAACGGTTGCTGAGAAAGTGGGTTGGCCGACCGCTGATAGACAAGGAGAGACTAGAAGAGCGCATAACAGCGGTCGAAGAGCTCAAGGAGGGCGAGAACACGATCCCGGTCGATAAGCTCAAGTTCGTGCTCGGAAAGATCAGGACAGATCTCGAAAAGGTGCTCATCCGCATTTACTACAAGAAGTGTACAAGGCCAGAACTATTGGCAGCTTTGCAAAGTCTGCAGGAGATTTCGAGCCAATACTTGTCGGCGAAGACACCCGAAAAGAGTGGTTTCTCCTCGTCGTTACTGAGTGAAGCTGTTTCGAGTGTTCCAAAGATCTACGATGACTTGAACAGCTTCTTGGAGAGGATCAACGCCAAAGCCGCAAAAGATGACGACAAGTATTCGTTCTTCCGTGAAGAACATGAGGCCGAAGATATCAACGATCTGAAATTGAGCATTGCCTCTGTTGAAGACGACCTCAACACGCACCGAAAAGACGCAGCTGCTAAGCTGGGGAAGAGCAAAGTAGACTTCGTTACTGTAGCTGGCATTGAGTACTTGATCGAGGTCAAGAGGAAGGCACCCGAAGAGAAGAAAGTACCTGCCTCGTGGCAGCAGATCTCAGCTACCAAGACTACACTACGTTTCCACACGCCAGAAGTTAAGCGCATGCTACAAGAGCGAGATCAGTACAAGGAGTCGCTGGCGGCGGCATGCGACAAAGCTTACATGGGCTTGCTAGAGGAGATTTCGTCCAAGTACCAACAACTGCGGGACTGTGTAGCTTCTCTAGCCACACTCGACGCCCTCCTCTCCCTGGCTACCTTGGCAAACCAGCCAGGTTATGTCAAGCCGACCTTCACAGACAACATCGAGCTCAACATCACCGGTGGTCGGCATCCTATGGTTGAGCAACTGCTCCTTGAAAACTATGTCCCCAACGACCTCACCCTCTCACACGGTTCTACCCGTGCTCTACTGATCACAGGCCCCAACATGGGCGGAAAATCCTCTTATGTGCGATCTGCAGCTCTAATCGCCATCATGGGCCAAATCGGCTCCTACGTCCCCGCAACGGAAGCGCGACTCGGCATGCTAGACGCGGTCTTCACCCGCATGGGCGCATTCGACAATATGCTCAAAGGCGAATCCACATTCATGGTCGAACTGAACGAGACCTCCGACATCCTCAAATCCGCAACGCCGCGCTCCCTCATCATCCTCGATGAGCTCGGTCGCGGCACGTCAACTTTTGACGGTGTCGCCATCGCAGAAGCAGTGCTCGACTATGTTATCCGTGACTTGCAGTCGCTCACGCTATTCATCACACATTACCAGCATCTGGCCAAACTATCCAGTCGCTTCCCCAACGGTGAGCTGAAGAACGTTCATATGCGCTTTGAAGAGCAGAACGGCGGGAAGGAGGTCGTGTTCTTGTACGAAGCCACGGAGGGTATTAGCCATCGGTCTTACGGGCTGAACGTTGCGCGGTTGGCGAGGGTACCGGAGAAGGTCATTGATGTGGCGGAGGTGAAGAGTGCGGAGCTTGAGGAGAGCATGGGGGCTTGCAAACTGGGGAACTTGTAAGTCGTATCCTAGGCAGAGGATGCTGAGAATGAGTGCTAACAATAAGCAGGTCACGCATGATGAAGGGTTTGCTGACTGAGGGATCGGAAGCAAGTCTTGATAGACTTGTTGAGGGTATTGAGCAGTTGTAAGATACGGATGTGTTGTATTATATGGAGATGTGACGGGTCGTCGTTCATGGGAAAAGGTGGAAGCATCAGGCGTTTGATGACGGTGCATGTGGGTAGTAGATCTGCGTGTATTAACAACGCATCGCCGCGTCGTTAATTGGGGTCTTGACGAAATGTTCAAATCGCGCAAACGAATGACATCACCGTCGACAAGATCATATTACGTTCTTGCCTGTGGTGTATTGTCATTGTTTCATTTCATGACTATCATAACCATATCATTGTGATCGTGGTTGCTGGCCAGCGGATCTCCTGTCCTCCCGGCTCATGGTATACCCACCATCACGCCTTATCCTAGCTCAACAGCTTAACCGAGACGAGTCTCCTTGTCCTTGATGGGGATATCGGAGCCAGTGGTAGACTTGTACTGGCCACGGATGAAGTCGCTGATCTGTTCGTCCTTGGCTTGCTCGACGGCGGACTCGTTGTCCTGAGCACCCTGGCCCATGAACTTCTCTTGGACGAAGTCGACACCTAGTATAGATAGTTAGCACGTGTCGGACAGTTATAGCACGGCATGGTAGACGTGGGTAGGGGCAGAGGACGACTTACCCTTGTCAAGGTAGTCCTCGTTCTTCTCGCTCTCCTTGCCGCCGCCAGCAGCGGAGTTGAGCTTGTCACCGATGCCACCGAGGAAGCCTCCGGAGCCGGAGGACTTCTGCTCAGAGCCCTGGCCCTGGACGACCTGCTCGTTGACGGATTGGCCTTGGTTGTTACCGCCGCCAGCGAGCTTGTTGACGAAATCCATGATGTTTGTTTGTTGTAATTGAAGGTAGGTCAGGCAAGTAAAGAGTCACAGTAGTAAAGGTGAGAGTAGTCGTGTGAGGTTGTGATGAGTGGTAAGCCGAGTGTACTGGAGGAGAGAGCTATTTAAGCAGCTGATTGCAAGGCAGGGATGGTTGATCTTGGAAACGGGAGCACCGATGGGTCAATGGGGGTCAAACAAGATCTAGTCCCTGGTGACAGAAGCCTTGGTATTGGAGCTAAGCGCGTTTGATAGGTGCGTGTCGCAGCGTGCAAGGAGGCTACGGGCGACGTACCTGATGCGATGCTGGTCTTGGTCGGCACTGCCCCGCCCAAATGCGCACCGACGTCATCAGACACCCCGCCATCGCGGAACCTGAAACTAGTCCCTTTGCGAGGCCAAGCTCCGCTATCGCGTCTTGCACGTGCGAGCGATCTTGCGACTAACCTTGCGACTGTGACCTTGGAAATTTGAATTGCTTCTTTGAGGGATTTCAGCTGGATCGACGCGTTTGTGCTGTTGTCGTCATCGCTATGATACCTATCACCATTATCACGGGCTTCTTGGGCTCGGGGAAAACAAGTACGTAGTAATTTTCAGCTGCTTTCTTCCGCACCTAGTTCCACAGTACCAGCGCGTCGCATTGCGCGTGGATAAGGAGTCAGGAACGTGTGATACACAGTCAACAAGTTTGTAGTCCTGCTAACAACCTCGCAGCGCTCATCCTGAACCTAATCCCCCAACTTCCCAAAACCTACAAACTCGCGCTCCTAAAGAACGAATATGGCGACATCAAAGTCGACACAGCGCTTGCCTCCTCAGCCGCTATATCAGGCGTACAAGAACTGCTCAACGGATGCATATGCTGCAACCTCGTCGGGCAGCTCTCCGACGCCCTCGAAACGCTCGCCAACGACGTGAACCCCGACCGCATAGTCATCGAGACCTCCGGCTCTGCCTTCCCCGCAACCCTCGCCATGGAAGTAAACCGACTGAGCAGAGAAACGGGCAGATACGTTCTAGACGGCGTAATGAGTGTGATCGACGTGGAGAACTGGAAGGGCTACGAAGACACGAGCTACACGGCGAAAATGCAGGCACGCTACACGGATCTCATTGTTCTCAACAAGCACGAGCTTGTTAACGAGAGGAGGTTGGAAGATGTTGAGGATGCAGTGCTAGCGCTGGAGGTGGAACCCCAAATACCCAGGACGAAGAGCAGGAAAGGGTGGGTGGATAAGGATATTGTGTTTGGACTGGATGCGAGACTGGCAGGGGTCACTGAGGAGAACGGAAGCGCGCACGCTCATGAACATGACCATGATCATTCAAGCGAAGTCGAGGTCCTGACAGTCACACTGAAAAGCCAGGATGGAAACAGTAGTGTCGACACTGCGAAACTCGCCAAACTCCTCGAAGACCCTACCAAAGACGAGGTATACCGGATAAAAGGCATCCTGTACTCTTCAACGCCACCGAAATCATCGGACGCTGATGCGGACGCGCACCAAAAAGTACAGGAGGGTCGAGCAAGATATATTCTGAACTGGTCGTTCGGTCGCTGGACGTTTACAGCTGTTCCGCTACCAGCTGGCGAGAGCTCTGGCGAAGAAGAGCCGGTTCTGAGACTGACGGTTATTACGGCGAGGTATGAGTCGACGAAGTGGAAGAAACAAATTGAGTCGTGTGGGCTGATTGCGTTGGAGGGTGGTGCGGAGGGCTCGTTGACGGTTGAGAAGATAGCATAGGGGAAGAATGCAAATTTGATATACCCAGCTCAGTTATTAGAAGCATAGAGTAGACTGCATACAACATTCAAGATGCCTTTTTTGCAGACTCAGCGTTAACATGTATTCCTTCCCGCCCGGGCGATAGTCGCATGCGATTGATGACTAGCGTGGTGGGGCGCCGATGCCAAACGTCGCCAACTCTTGTCTCATGCCACTTCTTTACCGAAGACACGACACCCACGGCTCACATCACGACGCTTTAAACGATACGCAACTGCTACGCATGCTTTCTAGTTTCATTCGGGCTACTTTATCGCCTTTGTCTGCTTCAATAAGCTGCCTGCTCCTTCTGCCTAAGCTTCAAACCTCAGGCGTAGGCTTCTTCCGCACTTTTGGTGACGGCTCCAAATGTCTTTACCCCTTTGTCATCAACGTGCTGCACGATGAGCGAATAGCTGGCTAGTTGCTAGTGAGATGTTTCCTCTTCAGGGCCTTGTTCTTTTGAGACTTTGACGGTGATCCCGAGAGCGTCTTGTGCAGCTCTTTTGCTGTCTTGAGATGTTCGAGGAAGTCCGCATGGTTTTGGACGAGACCAAGAAATTCATCTAGCTGACTCTGTCCCCAGAACTTCTGCTCATGCATGACAGCAGCTGCCACAATGATTCGCTGCAGCACGCCTCCCTGATCTTTGCAGATTTGGTCCGCACCGTACATCCAGTCCACAAAGCCTTTCATCGATGCCGGTCCGAAACGACCCCGGGATATGAGCTGCTCGATAAGCTTGATGTAGGCCGTATCGATCAGAACCTGGTACTTTAGGAACTCGCCGAACTTGATCACCTCCAGATGGAACTCCACCGACTTCATGTTCTGAGTGAAGTCCTTGTACAGCGTATCAGGCTTGTTCTCAGCATGGGCGATGTTAGATACTTCGGTGTCGATGTGTCGCTGGTATGTTCCGAGGTAGAGGAAGTTGACGAATCGGTCCACGATGATGGGGGAGAAAGCAGGAAAAGGTATCTCGCACGGTCGCTGTGGAGTCTGAATCTTCAATGTAAGCATGCTATTACGTGACATCACCTCGACTCAGGTGTACGTACGCCTTGGAAGAGACACTTCAGCATCCAGTCTGCAGCTGGACCACCGAGCGCCCACGCTGAATGTATTGGGAACAAGATGCCGTTCGAATTAAGGAGGATGTCGCAACCATGTTTGGAGCCTAGGACACTGCTGGCGTGCCTGACACGTTAGCGCTGAGTCTCGTGTATTGGGGGCGGACATACTCCATGCGCACAAGATCCGCTGTCGGTGGCCTCAGATGCTCATTCTTGTCGGCGATCTGAAGTAGATTCTTGAGCGACATCCAACTTGGAGCTGAGGGCGTCGGCGCTGTTCCAGATGACATTGCGTCCCTGGTCCGATAACGTATTTCAGTATTAACGGGGTTTTCGCGTCAAAGAGATGCAAGAAAAGAAGGAGCAAACGGTCATAGTGGGGTCAGGCGGTCGAGCTCTGAGTACCGTGCCAAGAAGTTCGGCTAGCAGTGAGAGTGAATTGTATACGCTCACCTCGCACTAGCTGCATGGGCGGTCGAGAAATAAAACAAAAAAATGAGAAGCACAGGCAGGGTCGAACTCACGGCAGCAAAAAAAACGAGACCCGCAATCGCGATGTAGTAAAGGTAACACACCATTTGCAAGCAATCAGAACCAACCCTATGATTCTTGTTATAGACACGGTCCTGAGCACCCGCTCTGCCAAGCAAACTTGACGAACCTTGACTACCCTACGATGGGGACTGAGAGTCTCGATGACAAGTTTTGCAATTACATCATATGTAACCAGATAATGGAGGTGATGGCTACGCGGTGGGGTGGAGACTCTTCTTCTTCACGTATGACGTATCGGGTTACGCGCTCTCACTCTTTCACTTCTTCACGTCTTCTCACTTTAAAGTCCTTATCTCTTGGCGGTTTCGTTTGCGCTGCTATCTTTCCCACAACAAGTACGAATTTTGTCCTCTGGTCTCCGCACAACACTCCAACAAGCATTCCGCGATATCTACGTAGACCGGCGAAATGGCGTCTCATAGTACCGATCACGACACCTCTGACGTGGACGAGGAATTTGGACCAGTTGAGTCGGCGCCAGCCCACATGCCCGTTGAAGAGGTATTTTGTCGGTTACTTGGTCATCCAGCGGCCACCAGGAGGCAGATGAAGAAGAACTTCTATCCCAAATCAACAAACAGGTACATCCCTCTCACGGCAGGCTCAATATGACAGAATGCTTACTGGTGACAGCGGTACACCCGAGCAGTGGCGTAACAGACGCGGAGTGGACGTCGTCCTCACTGACTCAAAAGGCGCAGAATGGGGCGTACACAAATCAGTCATCTGCACTGGCTCGGCGCTTATGGGCGACTATCTACACAAGCCCGACGTGAGTAAACTAACTGATCAACATTCTCATCGGAAAGCTACTGATATGACCACCAGAGCAGCAACTTTGTGTACACGGAAGATGGGAAGATCAAGCTCCTAGTCGCAGGGTTTGAGTCATTCGCCATAGACGCTTTTGTCCAATCCGACTACTTCGGGCGATACGTACTCAGCAACGCCATAGCGCTCAGTCGAGCGCGGAAAGTCCCTGAGACAGGACTCACGATAAACGCCGACGAAATCGCCCCCGGTCTCCAACTTCTTCATCATCTAGAAGTCCTTCGACTCGGTGATCGCCTTCAGCATGCAGTAGCAATGGAGGCATTTGGGTACATCCAGCTGCTCTTGGGCCGCAAGACGATAGGCCTGGCAGACTGGTTGAGGTTCATGCAAGAGGTATTCCATGGGCAGAATCCGATAAGAGATACTACACTGGGCCAGCAAGTTCGCATGATTGTGGCGGCATATGCTGCGTACCATGATAGCATCTGGTTGGGACACGAAGAGTACCGTCAGCTCTTCCGAGGTACGCACAACGTCTTCGCAGGACTGTGCACTGAGATGCGCAACAATCAAGCTGGACTCGCCATTGGTGCTTGCTACGTCACCGCCTCTCAGCACATGGGACGTATGGCAATTGCCTCGCTCCCTAGCGAAATCTCTCTGGACTTCGCCATCTCGGCACATGATCATAGTACAGCTGCACTACCGGGCAACCCACGCATCGAGCATGCTGCACCGTCACCTGCACCGCCACCTGTACGGCCATCTACTCAGGGTCGGGACGACACGCTGATATTGCCTCATATCCAGAGCATGCTGGACGAACAGAAGGGCGCCAAAGACCGACACGCAAGATAGGCTTTGACGGATACCTTGGGGCCTTGGAGGAGCTAGCTGCAGCTTATATGGGGGTCTACCGACTACGGTCATGCTTCTTGAAGGCGTCGGTAGCAGCTCGTGGATGTTTGCCGTATACGAGGTATTTGGCATTATGATATCGAAGGGTACAAAAGATGATGTGTTCCTCTAATGTATCAATAAGGTTTCTTTTGTCAGTGTGTTTCTCCTGGAGATCCTCCAGGCATAAGTATGCCGAGTACATCTGGGTATTGATAAGTGTATGTAGCCGCGAAGTACAGGATAAAAAAGCCCATTTGAGCCTTGGAAAAATCATCTCATGTCGCCGTCATTTTCCACATCACGTTCGATATCTCATGCGATGGATGATGTAAGGTAAGACATATTGCATTATATATACAGTCATTACATTCCCAGTCATTGGACTTTTTCAAGCTCCCACGATTAACAGCTGAGCTTCCAAACTCCTCTTCCAGTCATTAACTACATAAATATCCATCTCCTAGTAAACCATGATGTCGATTTACAACATACCAAGAGCGAGTCCAAGAGCACCAATACCCATGGCGGCGCCGGCAGTCTTCATAGCGGCAGGGTTGCTAGTCTCGGCAGGGACGGTGTTGGTATCTGTCTCGGTGGTGGTGGCAACGAGACCGTCGCTACCGGTGGTGACAATAACGGCTACGGAAGTGGTCTGGATGACGGAGGTGACAGAAACGGTGTTGGTGTCAGTGACAGTGTTGGTGTCGACGGCCGTTGTTTGGACTGCGCCAGCGCCTCCTCCAACTACGGTGGTGGTCTGGTATGCGCAGTCGGTGAGGAGACGGTACTGGTCGCTGCCATCGTCGTTGTCGTTGCCGTTGTACTGCCTGACGCAGGACTCGCATTGTGGGATCAATGTGTTTGCGTTGTTGGCTGTGCAGATGCACTGGAGGACGGCGGATGAGTCATCATCTATCGCTTTGTTAGATTGTTGTTGTTCGTTATTAGGTGCGGTACTTACTGCTGTCGTTCTTGCAACCGTTGGTGATGGAACCGACTTGTGCGCAGACATCAGTGCACTCCGCGGGGATGTTGTCGAAGTCGAAGTCAGTGTCCTGAGCAGCAGCGAAGGCCGCAAGAGCGGAGATGATGGTGAGCTTTGAGAAGAGCATATTGATTGATTGATTGATCGAAGTTCGACTTTTTGAGAGTGAGTGTAGTGGTTTTGAATCAAGTGGAGATGATGAGAAGGCTGATTGTTGTGATGATGGGCTTTCAACATGTCGAGCATGGCGACTCTTATACCAAATGTGCTCCTCCTTCCATCGCCCATCGGACGGTCTCCGACCTGGCTTCTGCAGAGGAATCAGATACCATGGTATTACCAAAGCCGTCGTACCCGAGTTCGCTCATGCACTTGATGAGATGGCATGCACCGTCGACCTCTGGCATTGGCTTTGCTGTTTGCTAGACGTTATGGTAGCGCCCGATGGAAAGGGCCGAATGCGAAGTGACATCACACTTATCATTTGCATGTCGTTCTGGTCGAACCTGGAGGCCAGGCACAGTGTGTCTGGATGCCGCCAAGCGATTGAAGCATATGAAGGTTTCGCGGAGCCACGCGATGGACATGGAGACAGCGCAGGCCGACGTCATTGGTGCTTGGCACAGCGAATGTGGATCCACCCGAGCAACCGAGCGATCACGGCCGATCATCCGGAAAGCTTGTCGGTTGCTCCAGAACGCGCCGACTTTGCGGAGGAAAAACTGGAGAACGTAGGCTTAGGCCGCATGAAACGTTGTTAGTCCGGCTGTACGGCAAACATCGTCAGTCGGCGGTGAACTTCTTTCTGGTAGCTGTTACCCCTGTATGACGCAAACATGCAAATACTTATGCTTTTGAAGTCAGTATGTCATGGCTTGTACCAAGCTTCAAATCACGTAGTGTGTCTGAACCTCGCTGTTAAATGGCTTGTTCAGGAACGCAGAGCCTCCCAACATTGAATCTGGTGTCTCATTGACGTCGGAGCATCAATGCGTAGCTTAGCATTAGAATTAGAATTTGTTGATAGTGCTTCAACGGAAAGACCGGAGTGGCCATCGAATTGTTTGGCTGTCAATGCATGGAGCTTCCTGAAGTAGGATCTGTCTGGTATCATCTTGGTAAAGCTACGCAGGCCAAGAATGGCTGAACCCACTCGTGATAGGCTGTCGACTAGCATCTTGCCGAGAAAGCGTCTTGTACAACGAGCGTGATACATGGTCCACTGGTTGAAGCTTGAGAGCAACGGATCGTGTCGGCTCAAACGAAAGACTGAGCAGTCTATCAGTGAGTATGATACCTACGTTTTGTTCATGAATTTCATCAACAACAGATAGTGTAGCATCGGCAACTTTGCCTATACTATACTGCTGTTGACTGCCATAACTGGCTAACATTACGTTGTTTCCTCAGAGGCGAAGTTCGCACTGCGCATAGCTTTACAGCGTCGTCTTGGCAACCCGCGCTACCACAGTTTCTAGGCCGTCAGTAGCTGCATACGCTAGGGGCGTGGCAGGAACATACCGTTATTCTAACTGGCATGACCGGCGACATGGCAAACCAGTAGAGCGGCTCTATAATAGTCACTGCGGGTAGAGCATAGCGTGAGGTTGGACAATGCCGTCAGAGCCGTGTGTAGGTTCGCGGTTGCCGTTGCCGCCTCCAGCAGCGTAAAGATGGAAAGTCGAGGCTCTGAGCTCGTTGCTGTACTGATCTCAGCAGCCTTCGCCACGTATGAAATAGTCGCTAGCTGCTAAACGACGAACAGTGCGCGCTGTCTAGGAGCTTACATTCGTCCATTTGGAATGTATTCCAGTAACCCAGAACAGTGCGCATGCGATACGATGTCGAGGTAACTTGGATTGACAGCAAGCCGCTTCCCAAAGTACCGGTCGGGAACGTAGGCTAAGTATTTTCGTATAGATGAAGAGGAAAGGATGTGTCGGCGACAACGTCCACTGAATATAATTGCGGAAGCTGACCAAAGCCGGGCACATGGATGCCATCGATACAGTTTCTGTGGAGGCGTTAATGTGTTCTTGTGGACTCGCGCTCGAATTTGAAGTCTTTCTGCGAGGGACTTTGGGTGTGTACGTTGGTGGGTCGGTAAGTCGATAACGGTGGTTTGCCAGGGTTCGTCGAGGCGTTAATGTCTGTCCATTCACCACAGAAGATACTGTACCCTTTGCACAATTACTTGTAATTCCATCTCTACCTGTGCGCATTAGCGTAATTTCGATCAAATAGCTGTAAATATGCGTTGCTTACGTGTATTATGTGCGACTGCTGGGTCTCCGTTGCATATTTCCTCCAGAAGGGAGCAGGTTCCCCTGCGCATCGATATGAATTGGATCCTCGGACATCTCGTAGCACAATACAGCGCAGGTAAGCGCTCATGCCTCGTGATGACAGTCGTTCACTTCGCGGGAAGTTGCTGAGACGTGGCTATCGTGGTAGGTGGTTGTGGATGTTGCTCGAAGTTCAAGTGAGGGCAACAGCGTCCAGGTGGTCTGATCTCGAACGGAAATAGCAGATCAGCGCTGTGGTTATCCCCGGCCGCTCCTTCACGCTTAGTCTGTAGGGGTTTATCTGCTCACTCATCACAGGCCTAGGTACGTCTTTCAACTAATCATCTCTCATTTATAGTGGCAGTAAATTGATGAAAGAATGTATTGTATGTACTGCCCTTTCGTCACGCATCAGTAATCCCACACAACCCCAGATGCTCCAAGTCATTCGTCACACATCCGTGTGTCATCTCCGGGTATCATTGCCACTCAAAGACTGCACATACTAATACTAGGGCACGTCCCAAACACCCATGGTGAGAGAAATGCCCGTCTTTTTTCTAACTCATACCGACATGATCCTCAAAAGTACAGATGTGATGTTATACTTTACAACAGCACGTACTTTCTACCTAGCCTGCACGGCCGGGAAGTAGCGAGGTCCAGAATACCCGTAGAACTGAACACTCTCGATGTCGATGTTGCCATCGTGTTTCGGGCTCCAGAACTTGAGTAGGACGTGTCTTCCCGAACTAGAGAATGCGTTAGTAAACCGATGGCTCCCTAAGGTGACCAGACCAAACTTACATTGCAGGGTGAAATTTGATCGTGATCTTATTCTTGTTCTTCGCAATGAAGAAGCGCGCATGTGGGGGTATGAGTGGCTCGTCATGGGTTCGTTCGGAGGGTTCAATGCGGCTGGGCGCAGCTACGCGAGACGCTCGGATGGGCTCAAGATAGCGCTCTCTCCGCTCCCGCCATTCGCTGTATGTGCTGTAGTCGAGAGCCGGCGCGCGACGCAGCGGACCCAGGCGGGGAATGACTTCGTCGTCATCGTCGTCGCTGTCTGGACGCCAACGACTTTCTCTTCGAAGGCGGTCGGCCATGATAGCAGCACTAGGTACTTCTTCGTTGGAGTCCGAGTCTTCATCCTCGCTGGCCGCAGTAGTAACAGTGAAAGGCGGTGGGGTAGGTGCAGAAATGCCAGCGGGACCGCTGTAAGAGTCATCCGCTGCGTGATCACAATTGTCACCCTCTGCTTCGTCTTCGTGTTCTACCATCTGGCGCATTATCCGCCGACGTTCAGAGTCGGAGCGCAAAGACGATATCCAATTTGCTGATTCGGCATTCAGCCTCTCACTGCGGAGTCGAAGATTTTCGATGCGCTCCTCCATGTCCTCGCGACTGCCCTGGTTTGAGTATTGCCACACTGAAGGATCTTCAAGAGCCTCTCGTAACGACATGTGCTCGTTGGCCTCGTTTGGAGAACTGGGTGTCGGAGACATCAGTGGCGATGGAGTGTCGTAGCGGAGATTGTAGGCTGAGGTGCCGGACAGGAGTTCATCTGCAGACATGGATACAAATACAAGACCTTCTTGAACGCTGGTGTCAGGTTAGCAATGATCAAAGACGAAGCGGAGACACATACGGAGCCGTAAATCCACGGTCCGGTGCTCGAATGACGATCTTCTCCAAGGCGAAAGGGGCTTCTCCGATGTGTTTCAAGAGAAGATTGCACTGGGAGCTCTCGCTACAGTATACACTTTTGTCGTTCCTCAAGACGTTTTGAACCCTGTATAGCCCAGGTGGGTTGTCTCTGCGATGCTCACCGCCGTCACAGCTTATGATTTCCATGCGCAGACGCCCAGGCACTACCTGGCCCTTGTGCCCGTACTTGAAGCACATGTACTCGGCAGCGGCGCTACTGTCATGTTCCAACTTCCTTCGCTTATGTCTGCGCTCGCTGTTGAGTTGCACGATGGGGCTACGAGACCGGGTCTGTGTGTTCGAGATGGTAAAGGGATTGCTTGTTGGTAGGTCACTCAGTGAGTCAAGAACATCGTTGGTGGCGTCCATATCGGCGAGGCGTTGTTCCCTGGTGCGGGCCTGAGAGCGGCGGAGGTAGCTTTCGCTCGGTACGGCGCGAGGTCGGTTGGGATTTGCAGTGGGAGGCCGGCGAGCAAGATTATCCGCTGCGTCGCTATCACGCGGGGGACCAAATAGGCGGTGCAGCGGGCCTCTTCTGGTTGACGTGCGAGTGCGCACGCGGCGGGCAGGGTCTCTGGGGGATGACGTCGCATCGTAAGCGGGCGTGGGCTCGGCTAGGGAGCGCAGCGCATTTCTTGACGCGCTGGTAGAGGCAGAGCGAGAGATGGTCGGCGGCGAGGTCGAGGCATGGGGAAAGTCAAAGCTGCCCGTCGTGAAGGCCAGTGGAAAAGGCGCAGGCGGTGGGGACGGAGAGGAGGGTGGTCTGGGCATTGGTGACGTCGGCGCTCGCTCCCATTGAGGAGACGAGGTATGGCGAGTAGTTAGGCTCACACGCAAAGGAGAGACTAGTAGTTTACAGTGGGAGGGTAGGAGACGGCACTTGTCGAGGCTGAGGCGACGAACAAGCAACGCATCTTCTAGTCGGTCCCGTGTGGTTGGCACGCGGGGTGCGCACGAGCCACCGCAGAGCCGCACAGGCAGGCTACGAGGTAATGCCGTCACCGCTAGCTGCCTTTACTCGGCCATCTGCAAGACGCCCTTCCAGCTTGTATTAGCCCATACGCAGTAAGCGTCTTGTTGGATCCACCAACAACTTGACTGCCCTGAGTTATCGCGCAGTTGACGTCTCGAATCTACGCGTCTCTTTACCTCCAGACACACCCGCGCGACGACAAACACCATGGCTGATCTCACCGAGCCGTCCCCGGTGCCTCCGCCGGTGACCAATGGCGCGTTGCCTGCTGCACTGCCTGCCGAGGACGCAGCTGGCGAGACGGTAGCCGCCATCGCTGAGGCCGACAAGATATCCGCAGGTAAGCGCGACGCAATGGCAGTCGCAGCAAGTGCTGACTTCCGCGCTCAGATGAAATCGCCCTCTACGACCGCCAAATCCGCCTATGGGGCGTCGCGGCGCAAGAGAAGATCCGCACCGCCAACATCCTGCTCGTCTCCATCAAAGCCCTCGCCAACGAGGTCGCCAAGAACCTTGTTCTCGCTGGCATAGGCTCCATCACCCTCGCAGACCACGAAGTCGTTACCGAAGATGATCTGGGCGCGCAATTCCTGATCAGCGACGCCGATGTAGGCAAGAACCGCGCAGAGGCAGCATTGCCCCAGGTGCAGAAGCTCAACCCGCGCGTCACCGTCAAGACCCTCACCACCGACATCCGCAACGAGCAAGATCCCAACTTCTACGCCGCCTACGACATCATCATATGCACCGACATGGACTTCCTCTCCACCTCCGCCCTCAACGCCGGTGCGCGCATAGCACAGAAACCCTTCTACGCGGGTGCATCACACGGCATGTACGGCTACATCTTCGCCGACCTGATCGAGCACAACTTCGTCATCGAGCGCGAGAAGAGCAACCGCGACACGCAGGTTGGCGCCGAGAGCACTACACGGAGCATCAAGAGCGTGCAGGTCAAGAAGGAGAATGGAAAGGTGGTCGAGCTGGTCAACAAGCAGGAGCTCTACAGCCCGTTGATGCTGGCCAAGGACAGCCCACTCCCTGCGGATATTGCAAACAACGCCAGGAGGCTGAAGAGAGTCCATCCCCTACTTACCTGCGTACGCGCATTGTGGGAGTACCAGCGCGACGGCCACGGCATCTACCCTGCGCATACACCGACGGATCTTCAGATCTTCACCACCATTGCGAACCTCAAGCACCAGGAGCTGCTTCTTCCTGCTGAGTCTCTCAAAGCCGAAGTCCTTCGCAGCTTCCTCCAGAATTTGGGTAGCGAACTGGCACCCATCACGGCTTTCCTAGGTGGTCAGCTGGCTCAGGATGTCATCAACGTACTGGGACAACGTGAACAGCCCATCCAGAACCTCATGCTGTTTGATGGCGAGGACAGTTCAGGACCTGTCTATGCGCTGCATCCAATCTTCCCTGGAACACCGTTACCCATCATGTCGAGCATGCCTGTCAACGCTCCGATTTCGATAGTCTGAACTTTGGAGACGGAGATATGAAGCATGATTTGCCAGATATTGCATTGTGCGATTGGATAGCAGCGGTATGGGACACGGAAGAAATGTAGTGTGGAGGCATGTGGAGGGCATTGCACTTGATTGAAAGATACCCAAACGAAATCGCTGAGTTGCCAGCGAAAAGCAATAAGATCTAATACTCTCAACACGCACCAATACCCCCTCTTACCATTGACCCATCTACTGCGTCTTCTTCTCATCCTTGACATCCCCCTTCCCAATGTTCCTAAACAACATCCAGCACAGCCCCACAAACGCGAACAAGACCACACCAACCGTCCCTCCCTCAACCCACCCAGCCATCCTCGTATCAAGCACAGGCACGTCAATCCACTCCACCAATCCACCCGATTCGGTCTGATTCCAAGCCTTAGGCTCCACATGCATGAACCTAGTCTTGGGTCCAAACAAGCCCTCATACCCCAAATGCAAGCGATCGAACGGATTAGACGTATGCTGTGCGCCCGAATCCGCACGACAAGCCCAAAAGACAACAGGCCAAGGGACGGGCAGTCTAGCATGAGACGCCGCCTGAGCAGGCATATACCGCAGATGCAACGGTATGCTGACATTCCAGTCACCCTCCGGCACCTCACGATGGGTCGGCAAGTCTTCCCATACGCTCTCCTCCCCGTCACCCAAACTGACCTTGGGATATTCAATCTTCTCCGGCTTGGGTGTAGCGAGTTCGAAGAGCGCTGCGGAACCCCAAGCTGGTACATTCCAGTCTGGAGCTTCGAGGTCGGTGGCGCCGGCTAGACTGCGGAGACGCTTTAGTTTCTTGTCTGCGAGGAAGAGGGCGTCGGAGAATTGGTACTTGTCGATGAAGAGGTAGGAGGGGAGGGTTAGGTGGGTGTGCAGTTTGCAGGATCGGTCTGGCGGGGTGAGTTGGTGTGCTGGAAAGGTTAGGGTGAGGGTTGGGTGGAGGCCAGTTGGTTGGTTGAAGGAGGTGCTGTAGGTTAGGGGATGGAGTTTGGGTTGTGCGGTTGGGTTCTTGGAGGCTTGGAGGAGAGGGTAGTGTCGGGTTGGGGTTTGGAAGCGCGTAGGTTCTGTGTTGTATTAGTATTTGGACATTTTGTCGTGCTAGCAATGTCATAATGGGAGGAGTACACGTACTCGGTTTATCGTCTTGTCCTAGCACTGCCAAGAAGCCTCCAAACTGCACATCTTCAGGATCTGCGTTTCCCTCCAAACTCAACACTCCAATCTCCACTGTCGCTTCTTTACTAGGTAACCTTATTGTCTCAGTCCAGCCTTTGTTACTGGGTCCTGCATTAGGCAGTCCGGCCGTCAGAACAACGCTTCTCGAGATAGTATCGTAGTCCACATCGATATAATCTGACGGAGCAAAGTCATCGATCGCATCCGAACAGTAGCTTTTCCCATCTCCTTTGCAAAACTTCTTCTGGAAGAAATCCGTAGCTCTGTTGATGTCACCCAAGTAGCTGTAGTACTGCGAGGTGGCCGACATTGAGAAGCGCTCTGAGAGGACTGGCATCTTTGTGGAGCTGGCTGACGTTGTCGTGCATTTCAGATCTGCGGACACGAGGGAATGCAGGCTTGAGCATAGTGCGTCTTCAGGTGTATCTGATAGAGGCGTGAAGAAAACATGCAGACCAGGTGAGACACGTGATGTGAATGGCGGAGTAGATGCGTAAGGCCTTGGAGATGTCCAACGTAGATGTAACTCGTGCCATTGCTGGAAGACTTTACTTATCTACGTGTCGTCAGTACGGTTTCGTTTGTTTGGAGGACATGGGAGTGGGTGCTGTACATACCTCTTCAGGTAGCTCATTCAGGCCGAGTGTGATACGGTGTTCCTTTGCAGCATAGACATTGTCCAAAGCAAAGTATGGACCAGATTTGTCTTCGCCAACATCAAGTTGATCGGGAGTAAAATCCTCAGGGTTCTTCACCACATAAGTGATTCGCTGTTTCATGATTGTTGTGATGGAGGTTTCGTTCGAGGTATGTCCACGCGTGATGCTCGCGATGCCATGCGAGTAAAGCGAGCTATTACAAAAGCGGTGCTAGCGCAGACATATCCCTGTAAAGGCCTCGGCGATGCGTCATCGGCCTTCACTGGCGCCGCCAGCTTCTAGATTCACAGCCCCAAGGAACAAGGCATCTCCACCGTGTCCTTTCACATGCTTTTGCCACAAGAGTGGTACTTGAGTTGTCCTACTCATCCCTATTCAACACTCTTCTGATTCACGACCTTGCAACAACATGCATCTCCTCAGCTTCCTCTACCCTGCGCTGCTGGCAGCGAGTGGCGCAGAAGCCCTCCGCTCAGACAAAGTCAAGCTGGCTAAGATTGAAAGTCTCACGCTGCGCAAAGGACAGCAGACTTCCGCGCGACGCGTTGACCCTATCCCTCAGGTACGCATTCATCCTACGCGTCTTCGCCTACCCCTCCACGCAGCCTACTAACACATCATAGCTGAAATGCATCGGCGGTTCCGCACGCGGCCTCTGTGAACCCGAGATAATGCGCTGCAAGAACAGCGGCTCTGACTACGACGAAGACTCTATACAATGGACCTGCACCGCCTCGCTCCCCGAAGAATTCAAACTCGGCTCCACAGACGTCATCTGTGAAGGCTACGATTACCCCGAGGACCCATACATCTTGAAAGGAAGCTGCGGAGTAGAGTACCGTCTTGTCCTCACGGAGAAAGGCCAAGAGAAGTACGGCAAGGGAAGAGGAAGATGGCAGGGCGACGATGACGATGACGACCGACGTGACGGACCGAAAACCATGGGCGAGAAGATCGCAGGCGGACTATTCTGGATGCTCTTCGGTGGTGTCGTGCTGTGGATGATATACTCTGCGCTGAGGAACCGCGCACAAGGTCCGGATGGCGGCGCAGCAGGAGGCAACAGACCTGGCTGGGGAGGTGACGGCGGCGGTGGTTGGGGTGGAGGCTACAACGACGACAACGACGACCCGCCTCCACCATACTACCCGAACAATCCCAGCAACCCCAAGTCAGGCTACGGTGCGACACAACCGGCACAAGGCTGGAGGCCTGGCTTCTGGTCTGGTGCTGCAGGTGGCGCTGCTGCTGGATGGGCTGCGGGCCAGTTTGGCAACAGAGGTAACCGGAACAACCAGACGGGCGGCTGGGGCGCTGGAAATGGTAGTGGCAGTCGCTGGAACAATGGCGGAGAGGGTAGCTCAAGGAGTTCGTCTGGTGATAGTTTCTCCAGCACCAGGCATGAGAGCACTGGGTTCGGCGGAACGTCGCGGAGATGATGTGTTGCTGATGATTTCCCTATTGGCCTAAGAATGATACCCCGATCTACGCGTTATTGACATGATACTATATAACCTCAGCTTCTGGATATGGGAGTACAGATATGAATAAGATATGCAGTAAGAACAATGAATAACCCCCAATATCTGAAGTGTGCCGTGCCTTTGACCTTGACACCGACACTAGTCCTTCCCCTCATTCAAGGAGCAAATGGAACACCCACCCCTCGGTAAAGTAGATAGCCAGAAGTCTACATCGCCTTGAGATCTTGCAAATTTTCGGTCTGGTACTGATGTAGACAGCAGCGTACCTGTTCAGGTTCCCCTTGCATGAGTTCCTTCATCCCCCTTCCCCAGCTCTCCAAGGAATATCCCCCTTGTTCACTTTGACACAAGTAAGCCACCCCACCTTCTGCCCCTCCACATCAAGCAGAGCCTCGTTCTTCGCCAGATCCTTCACATACGCACTTGCTTCTCTCTTCAGAATCGCCAGATCTTCGCTCAGATTCTGTACTGCGGACGGCATGACCTGTTCCATCATACGCCTCATATTTTCGTACGGCATGTAACCCTCCCCCTTCCAGATCTTTCGATACATGGTGCCACGGCGGAGAGAGCCCTTGTCGTCGTCGTGGAGGTTGGTGAACTCTTGAGCGAGGATAGACCGGAACGTTGAGACTACAAACCACGTGTCAAATTCAGAGTTGACAAGGAGAGACACGGGGTGGCTGCTCGCACCGCGGCCGACGTTGATAGTGAGTAAGAGCAGGTCACGCTCTATCTCTGTGCAACGTTGGTTTAGCTCGAAGCTCTTAGCCGTGATGAGGCGGACGATCTCTTCTGGGAGAGAGGAACGCGGCGTCGGCCATGGCCAACTGGGGTGCGCGCCTGACATGTGGATCAGTGCTTCGGTGTATATCGAGTCGTTGTGGAGGGAGAGCGAGAGCAAAAGCCAGCGCGCGGGGTCGTTTTTGATTGCACGTAGGAGCGCATGTCGGTGTAGGAGAAGGGTGGCATTGATCTGTGATCTTAGATTGGGAAGATTGCCCAAGCAGCCCAGGTCTTCGGCGAGCTTGGTGAATTGTTCGGAGTGAGTGAGAGAGGCGGCGATGTTTGTAGTCGGGATGTTTATGGGGACGTTATAGAATGCGCTGAAGAGCTCGTTGTAGATATCGATTGTGGCAGTGTGGTCTGGCGTGATAGAGAAAAGATTGCCTGAGTCGGAGTCCTCGTGCTCGGTCTTGATTGCAACGCTGGCATCAAGATGACTCCCGGCATTTGATATGACTGGCTTTTCTTCGGTAGTTTGCTGTTGTACTAATACAACCTTTCCATCAACCTCTTCAATAGTGTATGAGGCCCACGCCGGCCCTATCGTAGGCATCATGATGCTTGAAAGTGAGTTTGAAAACCATGAAGAGAACCGCGTGAGAATGCTGCTGTGGAGTTGCCATTGTCTCGGCGGAGTGACCAGTTCCGTCTTGATGAAGACATCGCCTGTTGTGAAGATGGGGAAAGATCCTGTGGTAGTATGCAGTATACTGGGTGTATGCACCACTGTACCATCATGCGACGACTCACGAAGTTTGTCCGGGGTTGGAGGGCCCGGCGTGACCATGCCACCATAGGTAGAGACTTCCGGGGGAGTGTTGACCGAATTGATCTTTGAAGGAGATATTTGGGCCGTGTTTGTTGCTGGATGATGGTCAAGTGAGGGTGGGCTTTCAGCATCGCTAGCAGGCTGCGAGGGAGACACTGAAGCCGCAGAAGACAACTCTGAAGAGTCTGCAACTGAATTTGATGGTGAAGTGAGAGGTTTTGAGCCCTCGATAGTCTTGTCTGATGTTGTGCCTCGCGAGCTCGTGGAGTTTGTTGCTGAAATTGTCGAAGCATGTCGCTTACACGACTGCGCCGGCGATTGCGAACGGTCGCGCTTGTCCATTGTAGAGTTGTGGAGACGTGTAGTGTAGAGGAAGTGGATGAGTACACCGGTGCTCGAGCTTTTGTCTGATAAGTGAGGTAAGACTTGATACTGGAGGTGTATCGGTAGTTGTAGAACCGCTCGGCCAAGGCGTCGGACTGGTGGTCATAACAGCAACGAGTCTATCAGCTGAACGCTCTGCGCCAGTATACCGCTTCTAATGAGCTCTGGTAGCGGTCTGAGATAGCGGCAGGTGAGCGAGGACGTATATATCGTGGTTGTCATATGAGGCTGGTCACGATACCTGGGCAGGGTGAGAGACGGCGTATACTTCCCTAGGTTGTATGCCAACAGCTTCCAGAAAACATGTTCCTTCTTCATGAGGCATACTTATGTGGTACAATTATGCATTCTTTCAGTCAGTTGTGAAGCTGCCAGTTTTTATCGCACAGCATCCTGCGCTCAAGGAAGACACGAGGAGGCTCCTGCGGCCTGTGCCTACGTTCCAGTGGACAATGAAAATAGGGTCTTCCGCATACTTGGGCAACGATCCTCGCGCTCGCAGGGAAGAACACATCCAGAGATTCGATGTTGATCGAGGTTAAGATTTCCTGTTGGTGTCTTCGGTATTTTTGAAACACCTTGCCGGACTGTCAAGCCGGCATCCGAGGGTCCTAAACGCCACGTAGGTACCGATGGAACAAGCTTCGCTTGAATGCGCGAACAAGCCTTTTCTCCAAAGCTTTCATGCGAGATAAATTGGCGGTCTCTTGGGAAAGTAAGAACGACTTTTGTTTGAACATCGGCGGGACAGTTGAGTGCAGAGTGAAAAGTACCATGACGTTCGGAAAAGTGGGGCTTACTGGAAGCGAAGAACTGGCGTGGATGTGTTTCTTTGGCGAAGCTATCACTGTAGGTCCTGCGACGTAAGGTAAGCCATGTTTACGTATCGCCAGTGTTTCTAGAGTTGTGATAAACGCATTCGTGGCTCTCAAACAAGGGGCTGAGTGTGACGTCACGGTATCGCTGATTCTAGAATTACCTGCCGTTGCCGCGGAGGTCACACGAACTTCACAGCAGGAGCAACCTGATTAATTAGTGATCACAGAAGCCTGGTCGTACCCCGGCTGTTAACCCTCTGCTATGCAAAACTCGTACGATTCCTTTTCAACACACCACGAGTGTTCACTGCTAGCCTAGTGGAGGCTAGCTCGGTGCTCTCGGAGTTATGTCCGCGTCCATGGGGTCGCTGCCAACATCGCTGTCGCAACTTCTGCTTGACGATCTCCCGACACCGTCTTCGAGGGCGGACGACGATTACGATCCCAACAGCCTTGCATACGACCTGATCAGGTTCACACCAGCGCCGACTGTGATTTTAGATGCGCTGCTCTTTGTGCGCCATGTCTCAGATTCGTTAGTACAGCCTACGACTAGGATCGTCTAATGCCTGTTATTTGCTGACGTCTATCAGTTATGTGACTACAACTGATGCAAGAGATCGCGTTGATCTTGTAGGCCGACATGCCGATGACATTTTCGGCATCTCCTTCACTATTCCTGCTTTCGCTCCAGCCCGTGAGCTAGTAAGCGCTGCATGTCGAACTGGCAAGCTCCAGCAATCGAAAGGGGTGACAGATACGGGTATTGCCTGGCACCTGAGAGCAGTCCCAATCCTGCGCCACGGGATATTGCGCTGCATCCAGATGGAATTCCTCGACATCACCGAAGAACATCAGCGACAGCTTGAGTTCAGGGAACGCTCTTATCAGAATGAAACATTCCAGTTGCTGGTAGCAACCATCAAGGATTATGCGATCTTTATGCTGGACCCGACGGGTCATGTGGCGACGTGGAATGCAGGAGCTCAGGGTTTCAAGGGATATACTCCAGCCGAGATCATCGGCAAACACTTCTCGGCATTCTATTCGGAAGAAGATCGTGAGAATGATAAGCCGTCCAGGGAATTACGAGATGCCCTCCGCGACGGAAGATGTGAAGACGAGGGCTGGCGTTTTCGCAAAGACGGCTCCAGGTTTTGGGCGAACGTTGTCATTACGCCGGTATACAGTAAGTTTCCCCTCACGCACTGTGTGAGACATACACTGACTTCATTCACCCTTATTTAGAGGACAACATCCTCCTCGGCTTCTCCAAGATCACTAGAGATTTGACTGAAAGACGGAAAGCTGAGAAAAGTCTCATTGCGGCCTATGAGGAAGCATCGAAACTCAAGTCGGAGTTCTTAGCCAACATGAGCCACGAGATCCGAACGCCTATGCACGGTATGCTGTCTGCTTTAACGCTACTACTGGACACCGAACTGGACAACAACCAACAAGAGCTGGCGAATATCATCAAAGACTCTGGGGACGTGCTTCTCCAGCTCATTGACGACTTTCTCGATTTCAGCAAACTCGCCTCGGGTAGCTTTTCTATCAGTAACGATATTATAAGTGTGAAGGATATCATTCAATCTGTCTTTCGGGCACATCAGACGTGCCAGAGACCCGAAGTCAAGCTCGAGATCGACATGGACGACAACCTACCTAGTTCCGCTGAAGGAGACTCTCTACGTTATCGACAAGTTGTACAGAATCTCCTATCTAATGCGACAAAGTTCACCGAGCAAGGCTATGTACGAATAGTTGCGCGACTGCAAAAGGAAGACCAAGAGTACTTCACCATCCTGACTGAAGTGATAGACTCAGGCATCGGAGTGCCAGCAAGTGGCTCACAGACCCTATTTACGCCTTTCACTCAGATCGACAACTCCACGACAAAGAGATACAAGGGTACAGGACTGGGCTTGAGTATCTGCAAGTCGCTGGCTGAGCGCATGGGTGGAAGCATTGGCTTTCACCCTAATCCAGAAGGTCCAGGTAGTGTTTTCTGGTTTACCGCCAAGCTCAAAAGATGCAAACAGCTCAAGGCTTTGGAGGTTCTACAAGAGGGTCTGGCTGGATTGAGCATCCCATCTCCCGTGGTGGCCGACCCGATGGAAACTCTCAAAATCGTCGCTCCTGACAAACGTTTGCTACTTGCGGAAGACAACATCATTAATCGAAAGGTCATGACACGTATGCTTGCTGGCATGGGGTTCAACAATGTGGACACGGCACCCGATGGCAAGGAAGCGGTCTCCAAAGCGTCCATCAACAATTACGACCTGATTCTGATGGACGTCAACATGCCTGTTCAAGACGGACTCAGTGCTACCAAAGAGATTCGAGCCAATGGACTTCACGTTCCGATCGTGGCCATGACGGCAAACGCTCTCAAAGGGCAGGCGGAGTCTTATATTGCGAAAGGAATGACTGGGTACATCGCCAAGCCTGTTGACAGAAGCCTGCTGGTCAAACTACTGCTCGGATGTTTGCAGCAGAATGCTACCAGCTGACGCAGCGTGAGCGGCAGAGAAGATCTCTCAGAAGATGGAAAAAATGCAATACGTATCATTCCTCACAACACGGCTTGCAGCAGCGTCGTTGGGCACCACTGGAGGTCGACGCCGCAATGAGACAGTTGACACCAATTTTCGGGAGGCAATGACCGCCAATCTAGGAAAAAGGTGAACAATCTAGAGCCTACATCGACTTTAGGCCCCCTACCTTGCATGTTTCCATGTTGACGTAGTCTGCAAACCTGTCCAGATTTTGATCTTGTATAAGGTGGGCGCAGGATCGAGCCTCGCCATTTTCGGGATAGTTTATCGGCAGAAGTCTTGGTACACAGAGGCTACTATCGCATGGCCGGTAGTATTGATCTGACCAATAGCTTCGCGGGTACGGCACCCGACATCTGCCCGCCCTGGAAGCGGACCCACCTGCACACATCAGCACCAAATCGATGTCTATTCAAGTCGCTGGTAGTTCCCCAAAACTGGTCAAGACGTTCGCATCGATTTCGCTCTGATGCGAGCAGGTGCCTTATCCACATGCACCGCGCCGTTTGGTAGAATGGATACCCCCTCTTTTGGGCCCCGGCTAGACCATCTTCACCGGCCCCAAGCGAAGCTCTGTCACACGAGATACGTTTGCGAAAAGATACTGGTCGCATCGTAATCTATCACTGTCTCTGGGGCCAAGACAGCGCATCGTCGTCTTTTTTCATGTCTTTCCTCCCAATCAACAGTTCCTATTCTCTCATGTTGCCCCAGGAAACTTTGTGACTGGACGACCGCCATGACCCCAGAATTCTCAGCTGATATCACCTGATACTCCGCCTCTTTGCAATATATCTTGTACTCGAAGTTAGTGTCGAGGCTACTCACTCCGGGTATTTTGGTGGTAGCTGAGCGTAACTACAGTGGACTAAATCAAGAGGTTGTGTAACAATTATTTTAGAACTTTAAAACTATAAGTAGAGTAAAATTTTTAACTTAATATTACACTATATATTATATAAAAGCTTAGAATTTAATAGAATATATTTATATTACTATTAATAACTTCTTAGAAAAGAGATTAAATATAATACTTTTTTATATAGAAGCTCTATAAGCGCTACTTTATATCTACTTTCTTATATATAGGTAAAGTCTTTATACTTATACTATAGTACTTAAAAGCTATAAGCTAAGTAGTAGTAATTATATAATACTTAGAAAACTATTATTTAGCTTATACTATAGTTAAAGTATATACCTATATAACTAGTAAACTTAAGAAGCTTAGAGTTAGGCTTATAGCTAGAAAAAAATCTATTAAAACTACGCTTAAAGCTACTAAACTAATTCTTCTACTTACTATATAAGAAGCTAATAAATTTTTTTTTACTAGTACTATAAAAGTAAGTAAAAGTATAGTTATTTTAAATATAGTTAGAGTAAGCGCTTTTAAACTAGCTAGTAATACTTATATAGCTAGTAAAGTAAAAAAACTCTTTAAAGCTATTATATATATTACTATAGTTATTATAAGCTATTATATTAAGTATACTCTTAAAATAGACTAAAATAGTCTTAATATATAAAGTATACTAGAATAAGATATAGTCTATAGTAATATAACTAGTATAAGTAATAAAAAAGGTAATAGTAAAGTTAAATAGAGAGGTACTAGCTATATAAGTAGAGAAGTTAGCTAAGTAAGTATAGTTTATACTTTATATAGAGTTAGTATATAGATAAAAGTAATAGAAGATATATATATAGTATAGGTAAAGACGTTAAAGAAAGTAGTAGTAATAGTAATATTAAAGATTAGAATCTTCTTATATAAGATAGAGTTAGAGATAGTATCTATCTAGTAGTCTTAGAAGTAAGTAATAGCGCTAGTAGAATTAACTAAGTAAGTAAAGTAGCTTTAAGTAAGAGCGTAATAGTTTATATAAAAAGTTTTATAGTTAATACTATATATAGAGTAAGAGCTAATATTAATATTATAGAAGAGAGAGTTCTTATAAGTAACTTAGTAGCTAGTCTAAGTAAAGCTAAGGCTAGTAAAAAAGTTAGCTATAATAGTTATATAAAAGTAAGTATTAAGAGAGTTAGGCTAAAGTTAATAAAGGCTATATAAGAGTAAAAAAGTAGAAAAAAAGTAAGGTATAGAAGTAATAAAGAAGAAAAAGAGTAGATTATTTATATACTTAGCCTAGAGACTATAATTATAGTAGTTTTCTACTACTCTTACTACGTCATTTTCTTTTCTCTCTCTTACCTATATAATATCTTAAAAAGTTTAAGAAAAGCTATAGAAGAATAGTATATAGAGAAAATTTAGATTTCTAGTACTATATAATACTATCTAGCTATTACGTATTTTTTAAATATTATATTATATATAATATCTATATATATAATAAGCGTATAGAACTCTTAAAGTAAGAAAAGCTAAAAATATCTAAGAGCTAATAAAATTCTACTTTACCTCTAACTATATTATTATTTTATATATATATAAGACTATATATAATTATTTTATATATATATAAAACTATACGCGCTTCTTACTCTTACTTTTACTTCTAGTAAAAACTTTAATAAAAGTTAGCTCTTATATAAGCGTTAAAGAGTTAGAAAGCTTAGATAACTTAGATCTAGAGATAGTATTAGCCTAAGAATTATAGAAATATAAGTTCTTTAGGTTACTAGTATTATTCTATATAAGGCTATCTTTAATAGAAGGTAGCCTAACTCTATTAGTAGAGAATAAATACTACTCTTAAAATTTAGAAAGCTAAAAGATAAATTACTCTTATATAATAAGTTCTTTCTACTTACTTTTCTTTTTACTTATAGGTATTTTAGATTCTTTCTTAATAGCTTTCTCTTTTTTAATAATAACTTTCTTCTTCTAAGCTTTACGTATAGATAAAGTTAGAGTATTCTCTTTTTCTAACTCTTTTTTATATATCTTAAAGTAGATAAAGATATTATATATACTACTCTAAGTAGCTTTCTTAAAAATACTCTTCTAAAATAGCTTAAGTATTATATAAGAGTACTATATACTTTTTTCTAAGTATATTAGTCTATTCTTTATAATATCTAAAGCTAGAAACTTTAGAAAATCTTTATATAGTGTAGTAGTAAAACTAGTAATATAATAAAAGGCGAAACAGCTATTAGACTTAAGAGTTAGTATACTAGAGAAAGCTAGGTCTAAATAGTGTTTAGATAAGAATAAAAACTATATATATATATAATATAATTAATTATATTAAGTACCTATTCTAATAGAAATACTAATAATTACTCTACTATATATAGTAACTAACTAAAACTTAATCTATTTAGTCTTTTACTTTAGAAAGACTATATAAAGGTTATTCTAAGATAACCTAAGAGTTAGTTCTTAGAGAGTAAGTAAGTAAGGTAGAACAGGTTAGTATACTAGCACAATTAGAAGATTAATATAATAGTATAAGAGTGTAATAGCACGTTTAGTAGAATAATATAATATTATAAGAGGTTAAGAAAGAAGTATAATTCTTAGATTAAATACTAGAGTCTTATATAAAGTTAAACATACTAAGCTATAAGAGTTTAGTATTTAAGCTATATACTTAATAAGAGTTATACTTATAGATAAGTATATAAGTAATTATAGATAAGTAATAATATATCTTGCTAGTTATTAGCTTAACTACTTATACTTATTAATAAGCGCCTTATATAGGTCTAGCGTTGTTTTACTTATAGATAAGTAGTTACGTAACTATAGCGTAGTTCTATACTATAATTCTATAACTATAACGTATAATTCTTTAAAGTAATTACGCTAACCTCTAGAGTATCTCTTAGGTTAAATTATAATACTATTTTTCTTCTCTATAGATTTATTCTTAAATTACGTAACTAATTTATTATTTTATTAATAACTAAGGCTTGCCTTGTGTTATAAGTAAGGTAGTTATTATATTCTCTTTCTACTAACGTTGCTTACGCCTTAGCTCTAAAATTACTTAAGCTAACTATTCTACTAAAGCTTTTTATAACTATTATTTTCTTAAAAAAGTTATTTATCTTATTATACTAAATTCTTATCTAAAGTATACTAAGTATACTTAGTTAGGTTAGGTATGTATAAATATATTCTAGAAGTTCTTAGACTATACTTAAAAGAAGTACTAAAAGAAAGTTAATAATAATAAAAAGTTATTAGTAGTAGTAATTTTGTAGTTACTATAAAATAAGAAAATTCTAAAATAGGTAGAGAAACAAGTGCGTAAAAAGGCGCTTTACTTAGCTTCTAATATAAAGGTAGCTAGCGAAACTAAAGCAGCGTAAGATATTAACTATTCTACTTCTTCTATTAGTATAGAGTTCTTGCTAGCTATATAGGCTATAATAAAGTTAATTAACGCATCTATTACTAGGCATAGTACTTCTAAAGGTGCAATTAGCAGTTTATAAGGTTTATATCTAGTTTCTATATATTATTACTATTGTTATATTCTAACTATTTAACTAAGTACTCTATTCTATTATTACTATTTTAATATTTAAGAATTTATTTAACTTTAAAGATATTATTCTCTTCTATTTTAAAATAAAAGGTTTTCTAGAGTAGTATCTTAGAGTTTACTAGTTCTAATATA